ACACACAAAAGAAAGACCTTCAGCCAAACATAACTTAAGGTTGCATTAACATACCTGTAGGAGTAGTGATTGTAGGAGTAGCACCGGTGATGAACAATTCTTAGAGATAGTTTACTCACTTTATGAAATATCAAGCAACCAACTCCCAGAATGTGTGTGAAGTGTTAATTCTAGGGAAAAATTCACACGAGTACTCAAAGAAATTTGTGAGTTTACGTTAATACTCCGAAATTCAATAATGTACACCACTACTCCCAGAAATTATTCAATTTCACATCAATACTCCAGGATGCCAACTAAGTTGAATATATAGTATTTTAAATGATGACTGGATAATTATTAAGTACTCCCCCCGTCCTAAAAAGTTTGTTACGTTTAGAAAAAACTGCGTCCCGTAAAGTCCGTTACATTTCTATTAAAAAACCACTTTTACCCCTTACTTTTTCATACCCTAACTATCACATCATACCTTTTTCCTAATAATCCACCCATCACATCCTACTTTTACCCATCACATCAAGGGTATTTTTGGAAAGTCAATACCAAAATATCCCTCCCTTAATTTCCCAAAAAGTCAAACCGTCCAATTCTTTTTGGGACGGAGGGAGTATGAGTTAATAATTAATTACAAAAATAAAAAACTTTGAATGCACTATAACTAGCCCCTCCATGTTGATTTAAAATAAAAACGTGTTAAAACTGAAAAATAAAGTGTTTATTTTTAATCGTATAAATGATGAATAAAGTTTTAGTCAAAATTAGAGAATTTTAAACCTGATATAGCGCTGAATTCATATTTTAAATATCTTTCCAACGAATGCCAATTTTATTGAGCTTATAATATCAAATTAATGATTTTTTTAGCTAACACTGTATAAACACCTACAAGAAAAACGTAATTGTTAGACCAAATTTTAACAATTTAGGGACATCACGGATTTCAATCATCATTAAAAAAGTAGTGTACCTCATAAACAGAGTTTTCAATATGGTCACCCCGAAGAACCTCGCCAAGATTTTCTGCACTGTCCACAATGCGATCTGGCTTACAGTAAGGAAGGGAATAATATGAATAAAGAAGTTGAGTTCTAGTAGAAGCCAGTCTGTTGACTTTCACCTTCAGAGGGTCACCCTGCCAAATGAGTGAATGACAGATAGTCAGACAGAGTTAACACTACTACTCAATATAATTGCAGGTATTTACAAAGGCGTGACTTAAATATAACAATACTGTGAAATACAGTTTTTAAGCTGCTCTCTGAGAAACACAAACTTTCATCAACACGGATGCATTCAAGCAGAAACATAACTCAGAGAGGCATTATACTTGTTACCAACCAAGGCAAGAGCATTAGGTCTGAATATAATCTGATCAGTATTAGTCTTCTTGTTTTAAGTTACAAACCTACAGCAAACAATTTGATCTGAGCCTGAACAGCTAAATTTGATTTCAACATACAAATCAACAAGTAGAACATGTGACTCTTACACACAAACATACTATTGATCTCATGACTTAACATCGAGATTCAAGCCTATACTTGGAATATCTCATATGGAGTACTGTAATACATCGAGCTGCTTAAATTGCTAGCCTTCAAGGCAATATATTTGTATGGAAGAATGAAGCAGTCATTATCGAGCCCATAAACTCTAAAAGTTCAAACCCTTCAAGTACTAAATCAGAGACCGTTGACTATCATACAGTTGACAAAAACAGCATCAAGAGAAAACTTTTAATTGTTCCCCGTACATGTTCACCTGATATTCATCATCTATCTTCTTCTTAAATTCTTTTTTCTGTTTTTGCATTAAGAACAATATGACATGCAATGTTACACATCTGTGGTTCCCTCATACGAAACTGCACAAAGCCTTTTGTTAGACCTAATTTTAACAATTTAGGGACATCACGGATTTCAATCATCATTAAAAAAGTAGTGTACCTCATAAACAGAGTTTTCAATATGGTCACCCCAAGAACCTCACCAAGATTTTCTGCACTGTCCACAATGCGATCTGGCTTACAGTAAGGAAGGGAATAATATGAATAAGGAAGTTGAGTTCTAGTAGAAGCCAGTTTGTTGACTTTCACCTTCAGAGGGTCACCCTGCCAAAAGAGTGAATGACAGATAGTCAGACAGAGTTAACTCCAATGAGGTATCAAACACTACTACTCAATTATACATAATAAATTGTCTAATACATAAATGAAAGCATAACATCAAAACCCTAAAACTAAATAAAAAACATGCAATATTGATTTTTTCTATTTTAACGCTCTTCATCTTCTTCATTGGCTCATCCTCATCTACATTACAATGCTCCATCTCTTGTATTCTTTTGTTGGGTGTACAAATGAGAGTTATCATCTACACTTTGTTCAAACCAACTATTCTGAGATTCTAGACTTCAATCAAATTTTGCAAGGCAGAGAAAAAAATACAACTTTCATTAAGGATAAAAATGTTGTAGCCAATATCCGAGTTTGATCGTAGAACAACAACAACAACAACAACAACAATGATGCATGTTTAAATGCTAAAAAGGGTTCTATTGAAAATACATATAGTGGGGGATGCAAGATAGGAACAATTTAAAAAGATGAAAGCTATCATAGTATAAATTAGTTACGTTTGGAACCCAAAGTAATGTTTGGTGCATTAATTTTTTATGTGTTCATCCATTTATCTTGAAAGGGTTTTAACGTATTGTTTAGTGTCGAGTCNCACGGTGGATTTGCTAGTGAGGTGTCCGAGCTGATGAAGTCTCGCAGAATGTAATTCAAAAAAGAAAGGCAACTAAAGAGGAAATCAGTACCCTAAAGTATCGGATTATGAAGTTCACAGAAAAAGAAGTATGTTTCCAGTGAAGGGTTTAGTTCCATAAAAATAATTTATATATGTTAAATTCACTTTCCAGTGAATCAGAATCCACGAAATTACCAATTGAGGGGGGGGTGTATTCAATTCATATTTTCAAAGATTCTGACAGACCATGAATTCTGTAAAGTCAATGGATTATTTAAAATCTATGCAGAGTTAGAAAGATTTTGATGTATTTCGTTAACATGATTTTATAAGATTGTGATAGATTGTTTATTATCAATGAATTATTTATATATACATTTGAATTATTTTAAAGATCTATACATTGTCCTAGCATTAATTATTACTTATGAAATTGACCAAAAACTCTAAAAATAATATAATAAAATAAAGATAGATTATTTTTAAAACATTATTATTATTATTATTATTATTATTATTATTATTACTGATATTATAAAGTCCAACACTAACATATAATTAACAATAATTTAAAACAAACATATTTTAAAACAAATTAATAAACCACAAGTATTCTAATCTCTCAACCAGAATAAAGTCACATAACACATTCAAAAAAAGAAAAAAATCACAAAGCAAAACAAGAAGAAAAAGAGAAACACAGAAACGAATCATATGAACACAAGATATAATCAATCAAAATAATCCCAACCAAATTCAAGAACCATACAATTCAAAAATAGGAGAGATTAATTAAACTGATGCTCAAAGATCCAGGTTCCTGTTATCACTTTTTGGATGAAAAAAGAAACTAAAGGGAAGAGACTTTAGTGCTCTTTACAAGTTGAAGAAAAAAATCTGAAATTTTGGTCAGTTTTAGACAAAAAAAAACTCCACTCCATATTGTTGAGGATATAAAATGCAAAAACTTTTTGAGAACAAAATTGCCGCAAGATTATCTCATCACTTTTGGAGACAAAATTGCCACAGAACAAAATTTTGGAGAACAAAAAACTTTTGGAGAACAAAATTATCTCATCAACTCTGGTTGCTCCCCATTTATGCCGCAAGATGTTAACAAGCATACCGGAACAAAATTATTGTGCTTCCCTTTCTTTAACAAATAAAATACACCAAGTGCATACTAGAACATATTGGGAAAATGAAATCCAAGAAGAGCACCCCACTTAGGATGCTCTGGTCGAAAATGAAGAATTCCCTCAGGGTCAAAAATTAGGGTTTGAAATTCACGAAGAAACTAGTAAAAAACTCCAAAATCATGTTAAAATTTACCTTGATTTGAACAAATAATTGATAACAAGAGAGAAAAATAAGTTGTAGAATAATAGAGAAGAAATTATCTTGAAAGCGTGGAGGCAAGGCTAAGAAACCGTTGCGGAAGAGGCAGAGGAAGTGGAGGAGGGGAACCGAGATCTGGAATCGAGCGGGGGGAGGAAAGACCAGAGGCGCCGCGCGTCCGACGCCGCCGAGCTATGGGACGGCGGCCTCGGCCGATTCGGCCTGGCCGGCGTTTCTGGTGCCTCTGATTGTGCTGGCTAACCTAGCCATGTTCGTGATAATCATGTCCGTCAACGACTGCCCCAATCGGATCGGTAATGGCGAGAAGTGTGTTGCCAGATTCCTCAGGAGGTTCTCCTTTCAACCCCTCAGGGAAAATCCTCTCTTCGGCCCGGCTTCTTCCACGCTAGAGAAACTGGGGGCACTGGATTGGAACAAGATAGTGCATGAGCATCAAGAATGGAGGCTTTTCACATGCATCTGGTTGCATGCTGGTGTGATTCATTTACTTGCATGAAGGGAAGGATTGAGGGTGATGAAAGGGAGAAGAACGAGTTCTTGCGCACAAATGGAATAGAAGTCGGTAAAAATCCTTTTTGTACCTAAAGAATGAGAATCCATCAAAATCTACTTTTTAAAAATCTTTAAAAATCTACTGATTTTTGAATACCATCATATTTAGAAATATTTTTTAAAGTTTGAATTGAATATCCACAGATTTTAAAAGATTTGTTAAACTCCGAATTAAATACCTACGGATTTTCAAAATCTAAAAAATTCTATCAGAATCATGATTGAATACATCCCCTGAATACTGGAAACAAACCTGATTCTAGAATTGACGCCAAAGAATAAGCGGATTTTTACATAGCAGATCTCAGAATTGACGTGAAGAATCCGCTAAGAACCAGCGGATTTTGACTATCCTTCGTTGTGGGTGCAGATTTCCTTTCCTTCGGTGAAGATTATCGCGAAGAGTCGGCGGATTTTTTGGTGAAGAAGATTAGGCCGATGAAGAAATCAGCGCATAGACAGGGGAAAGAATCGGAAGGTTTATGCGATTTTGTCGTAGAAGAAGACGCTTGTAACCTTACGTGCAATGAAATTAGAATGCTCTTAAATGGTCACATGTCAAATTTATATACCTCAAACTTTCAAATTTTATGGTATTAAAGGATATACTCCCTCCGTCCCACTATATTTGTCCACTTTCATTTTTGCACACAATCTAATACACTTCTTTAATCCATTTTATCTTGTAATTTGTATATTAAAAAATTATAGAAATTATATATTAATAATCTATATGTTAAGATAAATCAAACAAGATCACGCATGACTATATTTAGGCTTACACATTGAGAGAATTTGATGAGTCAAAGTGCTTAGATGAACAGTTCCAAAAGTCAAAAGTGGACAAATATAGCGGGACGGAGGGAGTATATGATGATAAATGATAATTATGCTATTATCATCCCTGCCTTAAATTTACCAATTTAATAGGACACCATGATCATTCAAAGGGTTGGATAAGGAAACAAAGGATCTAATTTAGTGTAGCAGGAGCATATTTGTCTTGAATCGGCAAGGAAGTAGTTTCGTATCGGATTAATCGTGCACACACCAAACTTAGGAAGAAAGTGTGCAAATTAAAGAGTGATGCCAAAGAGTGAGCCAGTGAGGATTTCTCCGAACAATCAGTGAAGCAGATCTTCCGCTTGCTCGAGAAAGAAAGAGACGGGAGAATGGTGAAGATCCGGTCTTACAACTTAAAAAGGCTAAATTAAGAGAGTAATTTAATTTTGAAACCCAAAATGAATTTCCAGACCATAAATTTGATGGAAGATAACATGTAAAAAATAGCCCAGTAGACATTCTACATGTTAGATTTTAGGAGGTTAACTCTCTTTTTTTATATTTAAAGATAAAGATAAAATTACATAATTTGTGTTATTATATCATAAATTAGTTGAAGAAAACTTTGAGTCAATGCTCTTGATGACATGTCTATTGAGGTGTTAAAAAATGTCCAGTCAGCACGCTACATGTCAAAATTTTGGAACTCCAACTCTCCTTTTTTATATATAAAGATTAAGATTATCTTATATATTCATATTATATATACAAGTATATTAATATATTATAAATATATTAAAAAGATTTGTGAATATATTATAATATATTAAGAATTTCATATTATACTTATAATATATTACTCATATTATATAATATAAGTATATTATATTATATCTATCTAAATATTTATATTATTCAGAATGTCGCATAGAAGACTTGTCGATATGGAGAGTTTGAACCAAGAAAAAGGGTTTTCAAGAAAGGCAATTAAAAGAAAAATAATTAGACAAAATAAAGTAGAAAAAAATTGTTTGGCTAACTTTTTTCTTACTTTAAAATATCGTGTAACTGTTTGTTATGATATTTGCAGTGTATATCATAACTTGTTCAACATGAGCATAACTTGTCTTTCGATAGATATTGATTCGGTGATGCATAAAAGTTTTTTGCTTTTTGTGATTTTAATGAATCTCATAAGGGCGACAGTATTGTTTTTTTGGTTGAGAATATTCTAAAAGAATATAATTTACTTGATAAAGTGTTTGCGTTTGGCTTTGACAATGATTTAATAGCATCGTTGTCATTCCTATACTTAAATAAATTTGTCCCTCTAGCAGCATTGTACCATTGGTAGATGTCTACATCAAAGGTGTGCATATCATGTTTTAAATTTATATGATCAACATGGATTACAGGCGATGGGGGGTGACCAACATTGAGGGTGACTTATGATTAATTAGGGATAGTCGTTTGAATTTTAATGCATGAAACTCTTACTACAAATCTAGGGGTACAAACCAATAACATTTGATAACATTTTCTGAGTGTATTACGATTGCTACATGTTTTTGTGAAAGTATGTTTTATCTAAATTTGTCTCCCTATGTGTTTCCTAGAAGGCAAAACAATGCTTATTACTTGTATAGTCTTGATATTTGTAAAATTGGAATTATTTTTAATCGACACTTAAAAAATGATAATTTTAAATTTCTCATGAAGTTTTTATTATAGTTGTTTTTCAGATAATAAGAGTTATTATGAGCATTTAATAGAATGGAAGAAAAAAAGAGATGTTGACTTTTTTTAGTATTTATATAAAAAAGGTTTTAAAGGAGTACTTGGTGGCCCGTTGGCGACAAAAAGTAAAAGTGCCTCTACCTCTACATGTAAAGGTGGTACAATAATAATTTCACACAACGAACTTGTAATGTATCAAGGTGTTCCACGCGTTTACGATGAAGATAACAAAAATGAGTTCGTCGTTCTCGAATGGTGGAGATGGAATAGGCACATGTTCATGCCACTCGAAATGCTAGTTAGAGACTTGTTATCTATGTCAATGTCCAAATATGGAGATTGACAAATTGACTACTCCGTTGTCCGTAATTAATTGAGGAATGGCGAGTAGACAGCAAAGCAAATTGGCGGTGCAGAAAGTTTGGAAAAAAGTCAGTTATCTATGTCAATTTTTTCTCTTTGTGATAAGAATATCACCTTAATTTCTCACCTAAAAAATGGACCTGTGTAGTTTTGAACAAGAAGCCAAGAAAAGTGCTTTAAATTCAATGTATACAGTTTACTCCCACTCCGTATTATTGCAAGTTCTGCTTGGTGTTGTTCAGTACAACCTCTTTATCTTACAATGGGGCGGAGCCAGCCTTCTCTTTATTTCCTCCTCCTACTCCTATTTGTCAATCTTCTTCCATTTCCCACATCTGCTGATCTGAACAATGGCACAATAATAGCCCTTGGCAGCACTCTGATTGCATCAGATGGGACCAAACGTTGGCTCTCATCGCCATCCGGTGATTTTGCATTTGGGTTCTCACACCTCAAAGGCACAAATCAGTTCCTTCTCGGCATATGGTATGCCAACTTAAACGACGATCACACCATAGTTTGGAATGCTGAGACTGGCTCTCCAGTGCCACCGGGATCAACGCTACGGCTAAGCGTTGACGGGCTGATTCTTCTCGGTCCTGAGAGCAATAATACTCTACGGAGGATTGGTGTTGGTAAAGCTAAACAGGGCATTTTATATGACACTGGAAAGTTTGCCATCTTGGGAAGTGGTTCTGCAGTGCTGTGGGACACCTTCTCACATCCAACAAACACTTTGTTGCCGACCCAGAGTTTGGAGATGGGAACCATGCTCATATCTCGTAAGGAAAATGCTCTCATGACTCCGGGAAGGTTTTATCTTCAGATGCTTGAGAGTGGGAATTTGGTGCTCTCAACTAAGAGTGTACCCACTAATTCAGACTATGATGCTGAATACTATAATAGCCAGACAGCTGCTGGTTCAGGGTATAAACTGATATTTAGTGAGAAGGGATCAATTTCTGTAGTGAAGAGGGACAACACATCAGTCCTAGATCTTTTTGTTCCACTTTCTAGCTCAATAGTTTTGGAAAATTACCTCAGACTGACTCTCAACTTTGATGGAGTTCTGGGTCTTTATAGGTACCCCAAGGTTTCAACAAGCGGTAATCGCAGTTGGATTCCTCTTTGGACTCAGCCTGATAATATATGCACCAGAATAACTGGATCAAAAGGCAGTGGGGCTTGTGGGTATAACAATGTCTGCTCACTTGATACTACAACTAACAGGCCGTCTTGTAAGTGCCCTCCAGGTTACTCACTGATTGATCCCAGTGATAAATATGGCAACTGCAAGCCCGATTTCGTTCCCACTTGCGATGGATCATCATCTAACAACTCGTCCTCATACGGGCAGTTAATTGAGGTGAAGGACACGGACTGGCCATTATCAGACTTTGAGCAGATAAGTCCTTCCAGCAAGGAGGGTTGCAGGGAGGCGTGTTTGGAAGACTGTTTTTGTAGCGTTGCCATTTACCGGAGCAATAGCTGCTGGAAGAAGAAGCTGCCACTGTCTAATGGGCGCATCGACACCAGTTTGGGTGCAACCGCTTTCCTCAAAGTAAGGGAAGGTAGTGATGTTCCTCCATCGTCTTCCAAACATGGTTAAGGAGACCACTGGTTTAGTTGTGACCTACCTGTTTTTTGGCAGAGTAGAGAATATTACTTATGAATAAATTGTTCGAAGTGTGTGATGAAGAGGCAGGCCTCTCTACAAAATAAAAATTGTGGACGTAGTGTACTTCATAATTGCAAAATTTGAGCACTCTTTCCGTGTCTACTATAGATTTTCCCTATTTAAATGGTCAACTTATATTTTTTTTGCCTATTTTTACTTCTCACTAGCATCACACTCGTGCGTTGCACATGTCATATTTACATTAGTAAATTATATTAACATCATTTTTAAAGATACAAATTGGTATATATAGAAATTTTATTATTTTAAGGTACAAAAATTAACTCATTTATAAATTTCGAAAGACTTCTTTATAAGCTAAATTACTCATACATAATATATATATATATATATATATATATATATATATATACACACACACATATATGTACACACACACACACATATATATATAATCTATTTATATAAACTACATTAAATACAATATATATAATTTTTTATTAGAATATAAAGAGATAATTATTTGGGTAATTATTTTTTAATCAAACAACCATCGCCACACTTTTCACGATCCTGGTACCATCCACCGGGCCACGAGTAACGTTTCCAATAAGCATGACTCAGTTCATGAACGGGTCGGCCAACCTACAAGCCATTCAAGGATTTGGCCAGGTGATCCAGCAAGCTGGAGGAATGTCATTCCTCCCGGGCATGTTCCCATTTGCGCTACCAGGCACGGGACAACTGCCACTGCATGCTCCCATGACTCCAGCTCCCTTCAAAACATCGAAGCCCCAACCATCACCCTTCCTACCGCAGATGGTTAGTGTGGTTCCCCGTGTCAATTTGGCAAGCACGCACCATGAATGATGTCGGGCCTTCACGACATCCACAAAGCACTCTGTATGGTCATTGCATCTCGATTGAGAGCGATGACGAAGAGTGGGACATTCCTCGTGCCCACAAGAAGAAGGACAAGGCCCTGTATATTAATAACTTTTTTTGGACCGATGCGCAAAAGAATTCCCTGATGACTTAATTTTCCATATTTTATAAAAGAATTACTGTATTTCATAAACTTTTCTTCTTCTTTATTCTGTTTTCTTTTATTCTAATTTTAATTAAATTAAAAGAAAAAATAATTTCTTTAAAAAAATGAAAAAAGGGAAAATTTATAAATAAAAGAAATGAGTTTTAGTGTAAGAAGACAATGTTTTATTGAATTTCGTATCAGGAAAATAAATCAATAAATACCTCATTTGTACAAAAAATATTTAATTTGAGACAAACGAAGTGTACATTATTTCTTTTTATTTAATTGATTTTTTATTGCAAACACAAATTTTTTTATTATTAAATCTTTATAAAAAAAATTTAAAAGAAAATTAAAAAGTATATATGATGAACATAGAAAAAAAAAAGAAAAACAATAGAGAAAAGCGAAAAAAACTAAAGTAGGAGTAAAACATTGAAAATATATCAAAATAGGAGTTCCATATTTTTTTTCCGAAATAGGAGTTAAAATGTATTTACATTACTATAATTTTTGGTAATGTATATGACCATGTTTGGTAATGTAAATGCATTTTAAGTCCTAAATAGCACTAAAACATAATGAGTTTTTCTAAATAGCATCACGTGTTTTTTTCCCAATGTAGCACTTCTAGTTATTATTCATTAGTCATTATTCAAGTACATGTTTGTCATCACAATACATTATGGACATTATTAAATGCTACAGTATTTAGGGAATAAAACAGTTTAAGTGTTATATCCAAAATTTAAAAATTCGAAACAACATTTCTAATGAAGATTCATAAACATAACAAGAAATTGAAGGCTGAGTTACTTTAGACAGCGAACAATAACTCATTCAGCAACCAAAAATATGGTTGAGTTACTATAGTTTAGATGGCAAACAATTGGAAGTATAGGAGACTCAATAACTGAATCAGCCAGAGTGCAACCACAATGGCTAGTTAAGAGGTGGACTTTAGTAAAACTTTTGAGAATAAAATGCAGTGAAAGCCCGTGTTTTAAGTGCTATTAAGGAAAATAACTTAAGTTTTAGTGCTATTTAATGCAAATATTTCTTTATTATAAATCCTTATTGCATTTTTCTATGCATGGGTTACGACGCAAGCACTCAACCTGAACAAGCTCCAAACTACAGCTTGTTTTCCCCTATAAACTCCAATTGAATCCACTTGTAGCAAAACCTACAATAAACGTCTTAGAGTTGTGGCGCAGGGATCGACGCGTAATGGGTATCCTCGAGCTTCCTATGTGAATTGTGCTGGTAATGTCAAAGACAACTTTTATTGCCAAATTGATGAAAGAAGCCATTGATGAGGTGAGTAGTGCAAATGCTAACTCATGATGAGACAATCTTATTGGTGATTAGCTCACGAGGGGCATCTCCAATGTTTAAATTTATAGGAATTGAACCACTTTGGCCACCTCCCTTATCCTCATATTGTGAGCACAATTAGAGTTCTTATTCATTCACAAAATGAGGAACCAGATTACAGCCCAATGTGCAGAGCCTTTAGTATTTGTTCACAGTGACTTGCATCTTGTCTCTAGAATGACAATAGAATATAAGACTAAGGTCACAAAAACCGTGGGACCTTGGTGGGGATGAGTTTGAGGCACCCAATGTTGCACGAAACTACAAATTTATCACTTGATGAACCTCAATTTTGAGTCATTACTTTTTTTGTTGATGAGTAGGACTGGGACACAAATGAAGTAATTGACAAAGTTCTAAATTATTCTTCCAAGAACTATATGTGTGAATTTCTATGAAATTTCAGGTAGCCACATGGCTCACATCAAAAGTTTGGACCCTCTTCTTGGTTTTGGGCTCATACGGCTTCCTGCTGTTTCCATGGTGCAATGGGGTTTTCTATGAGGAGCCAGATGTAAACTTCCTTTCTACTAACCAAGTCACAAGCAAACACTTTGCCACATACCAGTTTAAATCTTTACACCTTATTGTCTTATTTGTTGTGTTTTTGAATCTCATGTTTTATTTGTTCATTACTTTCAATTCATTGAAGCTCTGCATATCAAACCCTGTAGTCATCCAGGGATGGTGGACTCTCTCCATGTGTCATGGAGCCATGGAGGCCTAGATCTAGAATCAATCTCCTTGCAAAGAGAAATGAAAGTTTCCTAGATTATTATGCCCTTACCCAGATCACCTCCCACATTGTGTGGGAGTGTTGAGTACATCATTTTCCCTAGCTCTTTTATTGGTGTCGGAGTCTGATTTTGCTCCAGCTTCTTTGGGTTTTGTTATTTCATAGCTTGTGGTTGGGTAAGAAGCAGTTCATAATCATCATTCAGCTTGAAGCTGATAGAAATAATATGATCCGCAGTTTCTTGTCCACAGAAAAAGCGTTAAATTTTTATAATACGATTTTCTCAGATTCGTTGCATTTTATGACATACTATGGGAGTCATCCAATGGCTCACAAGTTCTAAATGAGCACAAACAGTGATCTAAATGAATGGCTGCCTACACATTTACCATGTGGTTAACCTACTATACTTACCTACCATATGTTGGTACTGGGTGATAAGATGGAAGTTACCCTGGAACTGGAGAGATAGATCAGCTTGGTGCCGGGCAAGGTGAAGTTTCAACATTGAATCTCCCTTAATCAGCTTGGTGCCAGGCAAGATGCAGAGGCGTTTGATAATGTTACTGCACCATGTGCATAAAGGTTCATTTTCAAACCAGATATAATTAATCCTTATTGTCTTAGCCAGGTAATTATCTTGCCTCTTAAACAACGTATTATCACATTTTCTGGATTTTTAGTCATTCAGAAAATATGCGTCCTGCTTGTGGTTTAAGCAAAAATTGGTCATTTATGGTAATACATTCTCTCTTACCAGAGGGTTGAGGTTAGCTTGTATGAATCTAATACATTTCTGCAAACATTTATATCATCATACACCAAGGTATGTAGTCGGTACGTTCTTTTACAAAATACTAAAAGTGACATACTAAATGTGCGCATATTAAACATGAAATGACTCAAGTTGCACATCCTTAGACGTCAAAGGAACATATTCTCCGCGGTAAACCTCTAGATGATCTGAAAGCGAGGACTTGTCGATACTTTCGTGGTGATATGATTTGCAAATGAAGTAGATGATAGTTTGTGTGGTGAGTCCGAAGAGTATTAAAACCGCCAACAACAACACAAACAAAATTCCACACGCTACCCTCCCTGCATCTCCTCCTCCCACGTAGCCAAGCACTACAAAGTACTCAAACCCTGTATGGATCCCAAAGAAAACCATGTTCACAAGCAGGAAAATGACCACAGAAATACCCATTTTACCCTTGATCAGTTCTTGGCTCTTGATCATGGCATTGACGCCGTGTACATCCTCTAGCACAGACACCACACTCGCGAGGTGGTAAATGACAGTGATATAGACAAAGCCCCCCATGTAGATGACCATTAAAAGTGTAACAACGAGCACCCCGACCGCTCCAGGCCCCAATGCGACCAGCCAGAGAACCATAATCACCATGGCCATGACGTTGTAAGCGAAAAGGATCACAAAACTCCACAGGAAAGTGACCATGAGGCGTTTCCAGACTTTGGGGACAACAGACATGACCTTCTTGAAGCAGATGTCCTTGGCAGTGTAGATGGATGCTATGGTGTAGACCACAGCAGAGGTGGAGAGGAGGGCGAGGACGAAGAAGAAGATGAAGTAGGCGATCTTGAAGAGCCAGAACGCAGTCCATTCGGAGGAGAGAACATCGGAGATCTTGTTGTACGTCTTGGTCCCGCGCTGGATTCTGTCAATGATGTATTCGTCGCGGAGGATGTTGGTGAAAATTAGGTCGGAGATCTCAACATGTGCCAGGTAAATGAAGGAGAGGGGGACGATCATGGCGGATGTAATCTGGAAGAAGATCTTCTTCCATGTTGAGACCAGGCTGAATGATTCTTTGAATATGCTGAAGAACCCAATAAACTGAATCTCCTCTTGTTCTTTGTCCATTTTGTGAGAAATCAGATGCGATGAACAAATTGTCAATTAAAGAACGGATATGTGGAAATGTGGAATTTGTTTTCCCCCGAATGGTTTTGCAATGGTTATCTGTATTCAATTGTCATCGCATTATATGGAGGGAGGAGGAGGGGGAATTGTCTATTCTTGGTTTAGAAAAAATGCAAATAAATGACCTGTTGACTATTTTTAAACAAAATTACGGGATAAAAGCTTAAATTATCTTGGATCCCGGGTCAAACATGAGCGGCTCGCCTCCATTTTCCTCTGTGATAGCGAAACAACGCGGGAAAGGGTGACTGACGAAGTCAACGCGGTAAGAGGCCATGTTTGACGTGAAAAGAAATAATACCCATTGTTTAGGGAACCGTTTTTTTCTACGGAGTATTTTTTTCTGGAGTTTTTAAAAAGCACAAGTCTGGGATTCGAACCCATGACTGTCTGGGTGAAAGGAGCATCTAGAAACCGTCTCTGCAATCATGCTTGGTCTTAACTCTCTACTATTTGTTTTAAATATTATGAATTCAAATTTTTTTTATCAAGTACTTATCAAGTATATCTAGTTTTTTTTACTAACATTCAAAACCTAGATAAATGCATATCACACAAATATTGGAAAGCATATCACACAAATATTTTATATATATTTTTAAATACTAGGTAAATGTTTAAAAAAATTCAAATCACTTTTTATTGATAAGCTTTTTTAAATAAGTATACTTTATTTTTTATTTAATGACACAACTCAAGTAAATTAAGTTAAATTATAAATTTAGTCAAACATCACTTCTTTATTTATAAATAGAGGAAATATTATTTTATTTACTCATATATTAATTTTTTTAATTCAATGCCACAACGTGTGTACACACACACACACACACACACACACACATATATATATATATATATATATTAATTAATTTATTTATATATATATTTTTAATATATATTTATCTATTTATTAAAAATGTTTGAACCACTGGTTCGACCGGTAAACCAGTGAACCAGTGCCTTGAACGGTTCAATCACTGGTTCGGTTCTGAAAACTATGATAATACCCCATATCCCGTAGTATTCTTTGTGAAACCTTATCATAAATTAAATTGAATATAATTATATAAGGTTTGTCTTTACACCATATTACTTTTAAATATTTCTTTCGTCTTACTATATTTGTCTAATGTGAACTTTTAAAATCAAACTAGATAATTTTAATTATAAATTTCTCTCGATTTGTATTGCATATTAGTACAAAAAAATTAAATTTTAAAATGTGATGTACCCCTGGATGACTCCACCAAAATCCAAACTCTCCCAACATATTCAAAAGTTTTCTTTCTTTTCTTTTATCAAAAATAAAGTGTTTTCCATCCATTTTAACCCCTCATCGAAAATAAAAGCCAAAACCTTTGTTTCTTGTTTTTGTCTTTTCAAAAAAAACCTTTTACCCAAATAATGCCTCCCCTTCTTTTCTTCTAATCCTGATTCTGAACCCCTAAATAATCGATTATCCTTAACTGATAATCGACTATTGGAGTCCGCAGATTCTTCTTCAAAGTCCATAACTTCTCATAATCGATTGTCAATAACTTGATAATCGACTATCCTCACCCTCAGAAAATATCCAGTTCCGAATAGGTCCTTGTAAATCGATTGTCTTGTAGTGTCAATCAATTATTGGATCCTCAAAACATTCCCAGTTTGAGCTAAACTCAATTAATCGATTTACTAAATGTGCTAATCGATTATTCCTACGTCTTTGCACCCTGAGTGAATCAGTTCCTGTTTGCTCATCCTAAGATTGGATATAAAGCTGAAATTATCCCCTGATTGTTAACAAAGAATAAAGTCTTTTGTTTCACAAAACAAAAGCATAATCACTGTTGAAACAAAGGAACAAAATCAGAAACAAAGTCATTGAATGAATAGTGCTGTTTTGGTATTTTATTCACAAAAGTCTAAAGCTTGACTCCCCTTTGTTTTCTCCCTTGTATGCACGAAATTCTCCCTAAATAAACCCAAGGAAGATCAGCCCAAAATCAGGAGAAGCATCTTGGAAAATCAGCTCACATGGAAGGACATTAATCTTTGATTTTTAGGAAAGAAGTAGGAAGTTTCCTTTATTGTATTTTTCCTTATTTGTTGTTGTATAAATACTTCAGCCATGAGGCCATTGTAACAACCAGATTATTGAATGAAAAGTTTGTGTTACTCTTTGAGTAATTTCATTAAAATAGTGTGATGCTATTTTAGCAAAATTTCCTAATGAAATATCTCTAAAGTTGGCTACTTTTGAGTGCATGTTAGGAGTCTAATTTTATACATTAGTAGTGATTATTAATGTGTAAAAGAAGATAAAAGCTCCAAATTAACATAAGAGTGTGTCATATCTCTTAACACCAACTTGGTTTATCTCTTCACTTTTCCGCCCATTTCATTCCTCACCATTTCTTTTTCCTAAACTTATTCTTTTCTCTCATTAAAAACACCAAAAAGAACTCTTTCCCACACTCCATATTTCACCCCTTCAATTCCATCATCCATTTCCTTCGGCAAATCCGACACAAATTAGCTACTCGATAAGACCCCGGGTCTCGGGTACAACAAAATGTATCAACCATATAAATCTAATAAAATTATTTGTATATTAATATACTAGGACTGACATTATTTTAAATCAAATTTTGATCCGAAGATCGGGTTTAAAACCATTTGTTTCGATACCAAATTGTAACACTCTAATCCGTCTAGGTCTGCAGCTCCTTTCGGACTAAAGTATTAACTTGGTAATCGAAAAATTTAAAAACATTTTCAAACACTTTTATTTATTTATCACAAGAATAATATTCATATACTCCCTTCGTCCAAAAAAGAACTTCCCGGTTTGACCGGGCACGCAATTTTATGTGTGATGAAAATTGTGTTGACATTCCCATTATACCCTCACCCCTATCTTCCCTCTCCACCGCCATGAACCATCAATTGGTTCTGTCACCCACTCTCACCATCCCCCCGGCATCTTCAATCAGATAACCAAGCACAGATTCGGGTGACTTGCGAGAAATTCCGGAAAAAATTCCAGCGCCAATCCCACAGCATCTTCAGGGAGAAATTCCGACGACATAATTCTGGCGAGCACCCTTTCAAACTCAATTCGAGCATCTTGTTCTAGCTGGTGAAGAATCAGAGGTGGGAAGAAGATGAAGAAGACNTTCCCATTATACCCTCACCCCTATCTTCCCTCTCCACCGCCATGAACCATCAATTGGTTCTGTCACCCACTCTCACCATCCCCCCGGCATCTTCAATCAGATAACCAAGCACAGATTCGGGTGACTTGCGAGAAATTCCGGAAAAAATTCCAGCGCCAATCCCACAGCATCTTCAGGGAGAAATTCCGACGACATAATTCTGGCGAGCACCCTTTCAAACTCAATTCGAGCATCTTGTTCTAGCTGGTGAAGAATCAGAGGTGGGAAGAAGATGAAGAAGACTTGAAGAAAATTCTTCACAGATCTGAATTAGATTTCTCAGATCTAGAGAAGAAAAGAAAGGAGAAAATGGAAAGAAAAAACGTAGAAGAAACAAGAGCTACCAGATCGGAAGGAAGATGGTTAGAGGAAGAAGAAAAGAGAAGAAAAAATAGAAAAAAAGATGAAAACCAGGTGGGTGGAACAAATTCAGAAGGGAGAAAACAGAATTGAAAGAAGAAGAAGAAAAAGAAGAAATGAAAAGAATTAAGAAGAAAAGAAATGAAAGAAGAAGAAGAAGAGAGAGAAAAGAAAGAAAAAAAGAAGAGTTGGTGAAACACAACGAAGAAGATTGGGGAAATCAAAAGGAGAGGATAAAAGAAAAAAGGGAGAAGAAAGAAGAAAGAGAAGTGGGGAATGTGGCGAGAGAAAGAAGAAAAAAAAGAAAAGAGAGTGGATGGGCAGGGGTAATTAAGTCTTTTTGTTATAAAAAAGTTTCCAAAAAAGGAAATGGGAAGTTTATTTGTGGACGGACGAAAAAGGAAAGTGGGAAGTTTATTTATGGACGGAGGGAGTAATAAACAATACAGAGTTTTAGTATTGCAGAAGCTTAATAAATCATAATGATAAAAATAATTTATTATTGTCATTCATTTGAAATCATCACATCCATCCCGACTATCTCACCTCCGTCTGCCTCCAAGATCACGTCACATTATTTGTTCTATTTACCCGCGTGTTGCAAATAAAACATACTACACACTCAGCGTTGAAGCTGAGTAAGCATATCTAATGCGTCATAAATCCATATAAATTGAATCTCAATTCATAATCAAATCATTTGATATCATGCACATGATGATGAATTGAAGCATTCATCATTCATAATATTCACAATATTCAATTCAAGTCATTTATCATTCATAATATTCAGAATATTTAATTTACCTTCGCGGAATGCTCACTGTCGGGTTGGGTGGTATCCCCAAACAAGTGATCCTCAAGTTTGGTTTGTGGGTCTCGACGTCTCGTACGTAAGTTTTTACTTAGGCCACTGAATATTCATAGTAATACCTGCAAGACCTATTTTTAATATATATTTTAGAGATCTTCTAGATACTATTAGAAACCAATGCCAACATAGATATATCTTAGAGTTCTACTAGTTGTGCTTTACAATACGAATCATTTCATAATAATCAATGTCATCATTTTAAATCATTGTTCAATCATTCACAATAATCATTTTAATCAGTAGGTTCATCAATATTTAATCTTCAATTCCTCATAATCATCTATAATAATAATTATCATAATATTCAATAACAATTAGCGGTCTAGCGTCAAGTGTTATCCCTTTAGCTTACCGTCATGCATCATATAAGGTTATTGGGTATCTGAAAAATCATATTTATTTCCAGAAGTCATTTCCATATTAATCATAATTGTTTGGTATCAAGAATATGATTTAATATTTCAAAAATAAATTTTCTGAAAAGTTTATCTAGTTCATGCACATAATAATCAATCAAATCGAAGATAGAAAATCGATTAATCGCTACTGACTTCAAATGCTTCGGCGACAAACAAGGTTAATTGATTAATCGAAGATGGAAAATCGATTAGTTACTACTGATTTCAAATGCTTCAGCGGAACAATCAATTAATACATTAATCAACATGAATTAATCAATTAATCAACATAAATTAATCATCATGAATTAATCAATTAATTGATTAATTAGCACGAGTTAATCGATTAATATCTATGTTCATCAACTTTTTCTTCGGGTCCATTTTCAAAAATATCATTTTTAGTCACCAAACTTCAATTAAGATATATAGAAATCTTCTCTAATGTTTATAGATCAACTTAGTATCATTACTTCATAGTTTTAAAATCAATTTCAAGGTTTATGATTCTTGGCTCTTTAAGCATGTCAAACACAAAACTCAACCAAACAAGCATTTATGAACGTAGAAACAATCTATACGAAAATTCTAATCACTAGATATATCTACGAGCTTACCTCGAAACTTAACGAATATTTTGAAAATTTTCTGGCAAAACTTCCGGCGATGATTACTCTTAGCTCCGGCCACTTCACACCAAAATGACAGTACCACTATATTCTCCTAACTTAGAACAACAGAATAGAAGAAGAAATTACAAGAGTTGGTGAAGAAATGTGGGGATTGAGGTACTCCTTATATAGCTTGAAGGATGGGATGAAGCCAAACATCTTACTGTGGTTTATGTGTCATTGAGGCAATCGTAGTGGAGCAGACAACGATATTGGAGATACGATTCTCCTTGATCGGGTTAATTTTGGTCTCAAGGGCACACTTTGTGGTGTAATTTTCTCCAAATTGAAATCTGTTTGTACCGTTGCAATCAAACAGTTAATAATTATCATAATTATTTGTAATACTTTTCCCGACATCATATTTTTAGATGTTTGACTTTGACAGAGTCAAAATTTATTTAGTTGACCTTTATCCAAAAAGGTTCTCACATTCAACTCGTGTTATTTGTTCTCATGATTTATTTCAACAAATCATTTTAAAGTTCACATCATAACAAAATCTTCATTCATTCTTAATTTGCGTCTGTACCCTAGTTCCAGAGTTAGATCACACAAATAGTCAACATATTAAATTTATCTCTATGAGATTTATCGAGATTGTGATATTGGATATTAGAACATATTTCATTTCGACCCAAAGTCCAACAATAATTTATTTTAATCAAAACAAATTTAATTAATTAAATAATAATTCAACAATACTTTTAGGGTATATTTTGAGCGTTATCATTCAAGTACTATTCAGGAAATAAAAAAAGTTTAAGTACTAATTTGAAAATGATACTCTCTCCGTTCACAAATAAACTTTACGTTCACTATTTACAGGATCAAACTTTATTCACTTTGTTGGCCTATTTTCGTCACCTATTTGATAAAATAACATAGTCATGTCATCTCTAGTTTTGTAGATCTTTTGATATAGTTTTTTAATATGTAATTTTTATTTTTCAATTCTACACCATTTCATATAAAATGATTTGAAAATAACTACAGTTAAATATCATAACACATAATATAAAGTTTATTTGTGAATGGAGAGAGTATAATTTCAGTACTATTTAGTAGAAATTTCATCATAATAAAATGCTTGTAAAAAGGTGTGTAAAGGTTGATCATCGGAAGTCCTGATATGAGAAGTACTACATGTCTACATGTACACTCCTCAAAACTTACAATATGCCTAAAGTTTTGAATCACAAATTATTCGATCAATTCGATAAAACATACATGTTCATTATTTAAATTATCAAACTTTAACCAACATTTTTAACTTAGTTTCATTACTCATTTGACAAATTATATATTAGTCATCTGCTTGTTGTTTTGTATAAATGTTAATGTTTTAATATATACTCCATGATATATATTTTTAACGCTACACTTATTTTTATATTATTGGATTGAGAATAATTTCAATTAAAGAGTATAAGAACCATACAACTTAAATTGGAATAAAAGAAGAATAAGATAGGCAAGATTAGTCTATATAATTTAAAACTTGAAGTGTGCTATAAGAACACATGTGGCATTTCCCTTTCTCAATACCATTCTTATCCGGTTTTATCTTATGATGATATCTTAATTTGTTGTTTGTAATATTTTTCAATTAGATTAGCACTTAAACTCTACTCCTTGTGTCCCTAAAAAACCTTATTTTCTTTGTCAAACTTTTCTTCTTTCAATTAAAATCACGAGATTATCACTAACAATTAGTAACTTACTTATCACATCATATTTATTCATTAATCCATATTAATATGTGCCTGTTTGGGAACAGCGTTAGCAATTAGCGTTAGCGTTTTAAAAAAATTATCAACGGACAGCGTTTAGCATTAGCGTTTTCAAACCGATCTGCACCTTTAAAATTTTATCCAAAACGCTAACGCTAATCACTAACGCTATTCCCAAACAGGCCCTATACCAACTATATATTATTCACTTTTAAGAAGGCTAAACAAAAAAACAGCATCTAAATTACACCTCTTAAATATCACTTTTCTCCAAAGTGAAAGTGTTTTTGAACGAAGGTATTACATATTCAAAAGTTCCCAAGCCACGACGCACAATCCCGACAAGAAGAAATCCGAACCGACTCCCCCTTTTCTTTTCCTTTATCTTTTTTTCCTTTATTCTACTTTTTCTCATTGATCCTTTATTTTTAATAATTAATTCAATTTTATTTTGAAAAAAAAAAATACACATTTAAAAAATCTAAAGGGAAAAAGACAGGTAAAACATTGAAAATATAACAAAAGCGATCCAACAGTTTGATGTAAGAGTGATAGAGAAGAGGTACAAACACAAGTATACACTATCAGCACTCCACCTCATCTTGCAGGAGAATTTCATAGATGTCTGTCCTTAAATTGAGCTCTTTATCCCGCATTACTTCTTGGAGATCTGAAAGCTCCTTTGCACTTAAAAAGGTGTTCAGCTTGAGGAAACCATCAAGCCATAACCTTTTTGACCTACATAGAAAAGGCAGCATCTGTAACTCGTCTTAATTTTAAGACGAAAAAGAAGAGAGAAGCATTTAAAATACTACTCGCTCTGTCCAAAAATAAACTTCTAATTGTCTTTTTCAGCTCGTCCCAATATAAACTTCCCATTTCCATAAAGGATATGTTTTCCTTCAATAACTCTACCCATTACCCCATCCTTTTTTATTAGAGTGCTCAAATTTTGTGCCAAAAGCAATTGGCCCACTCAAAAAACACTGATGAGATAGCTTCTGGGACAATGTAACTATTACATCAAGTCATCAACAGGGAGGATGAACTCACCAGGGGCAAGCGTGGACTGCTCGAAAAAAAACTCTTTTTGCAGCTGATGTGTCACAAGTTATATCGAGTTCATATGCAATGTAGTTGCGCCAAATTATCACTGAGTTGCATAGTTTCTCATTTGTTAATACCCTCTCAAAAAATCTGCGTATTCTATGCTGAGAGCCACCTCTACTCATCTCAAACGTTAATGTGAAGAGCCAATTAATGACTGATGGTTTCCTGGATTTTTAAACAGAAAGATCAAGAACATGAGTCAATAACTATGAGATTGAGCTAATACACTATGAAAATAGAAGGGCATGGTCCAATGAAAACAGTAAAAGTTAAACCAACAGTGCATAATTTTACAAGCGAAAGACAGCTTGGATGCATTAAGAATGAAATAACTGATAAGATCAATAAAGACAGCAAAAAACAATAGCAACTGTTGCATGCACAGAAACATTGATTTATGAAATATTTCCATTCTCTGCAGACATAGTTCAAAGACATACTTGTTGAAGTATTCATGGAACTGTAAAGATGACCGATCTCAACTAATGCGCCATAAAGCTTTGGACTGAAAGGATATATCTGCAGCCCATCCACAATAGAGTCCCATACTTTTGATAGTTTGACTTCACTGAGATGTTTAGAAAGCATGTTTAGATAATAATTGAACAGGAATTCTAGATGATGGCTGTTCCTTCTTCTTTCTGCAGAAATACATTTAGAACAGTTATATATGGGAAAAATAGTCATGAGTACATAAAAATTACTCCCTTCATCCATCCTCTTTGGTTCTTCCCACTTTCATTTTTAGGCTGTCCTATTTTATTCTCCTCACTTGCTTAATTTGGCACTAAAATAGTAAAATATTACACAATCCCTATCGTACCCTAACTAAATCAACATATTTACTACTATTTACTACCTTCAACCGCCCAACCATGGTTGTTAAGTCGACAAGTCGAGTTGAGTCGGTGAAGAGGAGACTAGTGGACTAGTCAACTAGTCAGCCTACTAGTCGTAGCCTAGTCGACAAATCAGAATTAGTATTGAAATTTTTAACATTATATATATCTTCATTGACCCAAGATAACTGTATTAATTTATATGACAAAATATCATTATCAAAACAAAATTATGTTTAAAGGTAGCACATAAAGTCACATTACAAAGGATACATAAGAAACAAATATCATTTAATCTTCAAAAAACAACACACCACCAAAGATAATAAGCACAAAAAGAAGTCAAAGAACATATTAAAATATTTAATTCCCTGTTTTGAGTTATCAAATATCATCATGCAACGTTATGCCACCATGGCAATTTTCTTCCATGAAAGAGACATCGGGATTTGAGAAGGGTTAAAGTGGACTGTGATTGTGAACCGAGTGAGGCGATGTTTTGTGGAGTACTTTTTAAAATTTAATGAAATTTGGATCGGGTCGGGTCGGGTCAAATTGGATTGGTTTCCGTCAGCGACTAGTCATCGCGGCAACTAGCCGTTGCTTTGCTTGCCCGGACAGCTAGTCCACCCAAGTCGCCATCCAGAAAACGACCGGACCACTAGTCGACGACTTGATAACAATACGCCCCACTGCCCACCCGTAGCGTAGATCACACCACCCCATTCTTGTTCTTGTGGAAGTCGCTCCCACTGTGCATCCCTCTTCGTCGCATTGTCTTTCATCCCCCCCTAACTAAAATCCCTACTCACTACTCATGAATTTAGAAGGATCTATATCTTCTCTACGAAATTGGTGGAGACAATGGGGATGATGCCATGCATGGTCCTTCCATTGCGATTGAAGAAGCCAGTGTTGTGACTGAGCAGACTCCATACACGGGAGTGAGGGTATGACGCCTATCTACTATGGGATGAAATTATTGTCCCAGATTCTCTAGATCACTTTGAGGGTTACTCCGAAGGAGGTGAGTCTGCCAACCCCCCTCCATGAAACTCCAGATTTTCCCAACATGAAGCTTTTAATTCCTTGCTGAAATCAAAATTTCACAGAAGGGAAGTCCATCATGCTAATTAATCATTGTCTAATAGTTTGTTAAAGAGCTTGGTGTTGCTAAGGATATGGCTCTTTAGTTTCCTTAATGCTACAGCTTTTACTCGGGATTAAATTGGGTTCCCTAACTTCCCTTCATGTATGCTATGGCTCTTTGGTTTACTCATTGCTGTGCCTGAGATATGTTGAATATTAATTGAGCATGCAGTGATGTTCACTTGGTTTTTACAGTAAATTGAGCATGTTGTGATGTTTATATGCCCCTGTTTAGAAGTGTAATTAGGCATGCAATGATGTATATGTGGTTTTGCTGGTTAATTGAGCATGCAAGACTGTGTCAAGGAATGTTTGATAATCAATTGAGCATGCTGTGATGATAAGGTCGATGTTCATAATGACATGAGCATACTCTGATATTAAGGTAGATGTTTATAATGAGCTGAGCATGCTGTGATGTTAAGGTATATGATCATACAAACCTGAACATGTTGCGATGTTAAATGACTCTGCTTCGTTCAATGTGTATGAGTGTTTGGACTGCACTCCCAGCTAAGCATGCTCTAATGAAGATGTTTAGAACAGTTTACTATACATGTTTGGCCACTGAGCATGTTGTGATGTATGGAACGTTATTCATGTTAAGTGTGTATGTGTGTTTACTACACATGTTTAGTGTACGGTTATTCATGTTAAGCTTTGAACCTATAGTGCACCATGGGTAACTAAGTATTGATATGATACTTATAAACATAATCGCATTATCATTACATAAGCTGTCAACTTAGGGGTATTCTGTACTTGTTTCCTACTTATCCAAAACCCAAAAACCTAAAACCCAAAACTCAAAAGCCCCCAGAATACATCCTTACAAAAAAAATTCTAATATAAGATCATATGCATTCAGTTCATCCTTAAAGATTATTAAAGTGCTCCTCATCTTCATTCATGAACTGAGAAATACTGCCTTTAGAGCTAGGTGTTGTTCCAGTACTTGTTGTGCCATTTCCAACACCCCTTCCACTAACTGCAACACACTACGAAGTGTTCCCTCTCTAGATAGCCTATCTTTGCCCATGTGAGGAACCTTGTAGTTGTTCCCTACTGTACTCTAACCCTCATAATTTCTTGCATGCAGTGTTGATTAGGGCTGTTCAACAGTCCAGAACCACACTGACCAGACCGAAGACCGAATTGAGATAAAATAAGGGGACCGAAGATGGGAGCTATAAATAATCGTTTTAGACAGACCGGACCGATATATTCTAGACCAAACCGGTTAGGATCGAAAAGACCAAAAACACATTTTTTACATCCACTGCCAGAAACGTAGGCTACAATGTCAGTTAAAACCGAAAAAGAACTGCCATGGAAAAAAAAATCAATATTATCAAGGAAAACAAAAAAACATCAATATCATCCTTACAAAACAATAACAAATCAGGTTTTGAACATTAAATACATATGTAGAAGAGAGAATTTAAAAACAATAAATCAGTGGATAGATAGCAACCAAAATGAAAAGCTGAAAAAAAAACTGATTATGTAGAAGAGAGAATTTCAAAATCGGATGGTAAAACAATAGTTCGGACTTCAATGAGACTGAAGTCGGAGACTTGGCAGACTCAAGGCAAGGAAGAAATAATTAGTGTATGTCTTATGTGGAGGGAGAGTGAGGCACTAAGACAATTTCAATATTTCACGACTTGTGTGATTTGTCCTGCCGGTCAGGACCGAATTCATATCCGCTTTGGACCGGACAGGAATTAAAACCCGAACATTCAAAACACATGGACCAAAGACCGGACCTAAATGCATTCGGTCCGGGTTCAGTATGGACCTAACAATCCGGTTCGGTTGGTTTTTTCGGTCTGGACCTAAGCTTGAACAGTCCTTGTGTTGGTAGCTTAGACACACTTTATTCAATGGGTGAGCTAGCAATTGCCCATATGCATCTTCTTCTGCCTTAACCAAATAACCTACGGCCTTTGGGGTTGCTTGCTCCTTCAATGAATGGATAACATTAAAAAAACAAGTCCAGGATGTTCAAATCATGGGAGTTGAGTGGCCGGTTGGCCAGGATAATGTTGAACCCATTACATGTTCCTGCTTCCACAAAGTCTGGGCAATTGTTAGCAATATGTACTCTAGCATTGTCTTGTTGTAAACTTGTATCACAATGTTTGTGCCCCTCAATGATGGTCACTTCTCATTGATTGTGGGTATGACCTTGCTGATCAACACTGCTTTGAAGCCTTTCTTTGTAACACTGACAATGGGTTTAATCTCTAGAACCCCAGCCTCCCTATTTTTACTCCTTTTGCAGGGATTGTTCTGTAAATGGGAAGATTGCCAATTTACTATCACTAAGAACTTCACCCATCTGATATTATTGGTCTTGCCACAACCCCTAAAAACTTTACCTTGGTTATAATACCTTAGACTTACACTGCCTAGGGACATCTTCCTCATCTATGCCCATGTAATACCTTTGGGATGTCTTTGACATGAAAAAAATCACTTCTCATCTATGTGAACAATATTCTCAAAGGCCTTAAATGTGGGATTGTTTGGGATCCTTGATGGTAGTAGTTGATTGAAAAAGAATTGCAGTATCTGCAATTTGTTTGTGGGTTCTAATCAGACCTGTTTGAACCCATATGTGTGTTGTGGACAAGTTGTGGTATTAGACACTCCCATCACTGAGGCCAAACACCTTATGTTTGTCCTAATGCAAAAGGAATGTTTACGATTGCTCCTATATCCAGATCCCTCTTCTCCTACCTGGATTACTTGTACATTTGTGTTTCACATCAATTGGCCTCCTTTCACCTAACTGCTGCCAGGCCAGCCTCCATATGCCACTCACTGTGCGCCTTGAAATGTTGAAATTATGCTGAAAATCCCTTTTTTGAGCAGTAGCAAACCCTAGCGTATTAGGTTTAGAGACAAGTAACAGTGCAATAACGATGTTGTCCTAATCACCATTACTTAACCTTTTTGCTTTTTTTTTTGGTGTTGCACGCTCTTTAGCAATGTTTTGTGCGCAAAGACATGTGACAGCGTATAGTAGGAAGGAGAAGAAGAATGTGGAAGAAGTGAATATTTGAAAAATGGAAGTTTCCTAAGGAGGAAACTGCCTTTTATACACACTCTTTTTGGGAGGGTTTCTATTCCTCTTTTGAAATTTTGTAAGCCTAAAAGGATTTGGAGGCGGGGGTGGGGGGTGGGGGGGGGAGATTAGTTTTTTTAGAATTAGAATTGCCTGTTTGTAATGTTTGGATGATTTTTGTAATGTGTGGATGATTGTAAGTGGTTATGAATTCCTAATTTTCAATTTTTTGCACTGCGTGCCTGCATCCCTTCAGATTTATTTTTAAAATAAATGAAAAGAGCGAACTTGAAAACCCATTTACTTTATTATCTTACATTAAAAACGATGCAAAGTTAAACCGAGAAGAAACTAAGAGGACGGAGGGTTTAATACAGAAAGTACATTACCAGGAAGAACCCTTGAAAATGCCTCGTCAAAGATTTCAGCACTGGCTGTCCAACCAGTGCTTATTTCCTCAAACAAAGCAGCACAGCATACAAGGGAAACTGACTGGTCATCTATTACACCTCGGCTCCAAGATGAATGTAGCATTTTAAGTCTCTCTCTAAATCCTTGTCGAGCTTTCAGCTGCATCAGGCTTGGGCGGTGACATTTGTAAGGAGTGTATTTCATACCACTTCCTAGGCAAGATAAAATGTGCAAAGCACGGAGCAATGACTCCGAACCATCTTGAGAACAATTTGCAAGCTCCACTTCTGCATACCAGAGATATAACAGGGATTCGTTTCTCCGAATATCCTGTCAGGGAAAAACACAAATAGGAATCATCTAAAAGAAAATATTCAACACTAAAAGGTGATATACATGAATGTATAACCCAATAAAATAGATATGATGAAGACTTAACAGTCAAGAGTGGCATCTGAACGGGGGGTCCTCTTAGAGGGGAAAAAATTAAAATATATGTTTTTTTAAATAAATTAGAATAAACAATACAATATGAGATTTCAAGTGTTATCTTCATTCAATGCAGAACCTTTCCCCAAAGATGTACCCTACATTTTATTTATCAGCTAATTCAAAAAAAAATAAGTTAGTGATTGGGTGACACACACACACACACAGAATACATTCATACATACCCCTTACTACGAGAATATGAGAATGGTGCATTTTCAGACTGTTGTGATGAATTTTACACTTGAAGTAGTGCATTTTTGGAATGTTTAACTTATTTACAAAATTGCCACCGTGATGTTTTCAATTTTTTCAGAACTTTTAATTTTTAATAGCCGTTAGATCTTAAATCTAACGGACCGTATGCATTCTCATTTCTTTCACTACGCACCATTCTCATTTGAACCAAAATCTACACACACACATACACACACACAATGTGTGTGTGTGTGTTTGGTGTACAACATATATGTATATATACTGAATTTCCTATCCCTGGAATCTGCCGTTTTCCCTCTAGGGTTGCTGGGCAAAAATGGCAAATGCTATTAATCCATGGGATCTGCAACCCATTTTTGTTTGATGTCCTATCAGATGAGAAGGCACCAATTTTCCCTAAACTGCGATCTTTCCATAAACTCTTTCTGCTAAATTTCAATTCACACTAGTCTGGAGGTCTCTCAATAGCAGAACATCCTTGACTGCCATCCAAAAATCCTTCGATCCAATAGGAATCTGTTCCCGGATACGGGAGGTTTCTTATAGAACAATCATATATTCATTTCTTTAGCCTCGGGGGATTATTTTCTTAGACGTTATATTCATCAATCAAGGTGTATCCTGGGTCACCGTCTTACGTTCTTCTGGTGAACACTAAATTTTGATCCGGAAGCTGACTCCCCACGAATCCTGTGTTACCGCCTTCGTCAACCACGAATTATTGGCTTGCAAACTAAATGCTAGATTGTTTGACCATTGACAATAGTGGTTCAGCTGCATCTTGAGTAAGAGCTTCCTGATGTGTATCAGTGTATGTGGTAACAATAATAGAGTAGGTACAAATTGAAGTAGTGGGGGAAACACGGTTGTTAAGGACAAAGATAGGGCAGACTAAATTTGTAAGCTCCATATTCCACAACACATCAAATAGCCCTGAAAACGCTTGATCCAGAGGAGGATTTGGCGGGTGCAGATGTGGTGGATTGTAATTGATATTCATGTTGTAAGTTTGCAACATCTTTCATGAATGTTTTCCCTGTGGAATTCCACTTTGTCAGTAATTGCATCAAGAACAGAGTCCACACTTGAAATTCAATTGCATCATATTTCAGAATTCAATATGTTGAACCAATTGCACGGAGAATATGCACTATAAATCTCATTCACCAACGGTACAACATAATTTAGAGATAGAACGAAGTTTGAGACTCCATATTTTGGTGATTTCTTTTCTGGGCTGAAAAATAAAACGAAATAGATTTGATACCAAATTGTTATGGGCACATCAATGAATGTAAAAGAAGAAACCATTGATCCATCCAAGCCCGTGGCAGGAAGGAGGGGAGAGAAGTCCATGACTAGCTTCTCATAATTAGAGATTTTGACTTCAACCATTCAAGATCTTATTAATGATTGTACGAGTATAAATAGGCAAAGCCTTACAAGAGACCTATCGTAATGATACTAGCATGGTTATTTTGGTGTCGCCTAGGCATCGCTTAGGCGATAAGGCACTCTTCCGTGGATGCCTTGTCCCTCAGCCTTGCCCAGAAAACCTCAAGGCATTAAGGTGTTTACCTAGGCGTCGCCTACCATCGCCTCACGCCTAGGCTTCCTGTCACCCTTGGGCCATTTTTTAATTTTGAAAAGCCCCATTTTAAATAATTTGACTTGATGTAAATCCAGAAAGAAAACTTTCAGACCTTATCTCTGCGCCTGTTCACACAAAAGAACTCTGGGAAACAAAACCTGCCTTCTGCCGGGTTTGAGCGCACAAAACTTAACATCGCATTATCATCCAGTCCCTTAGAATCGTCTAACCTAGGCCGCTATCTTTCTCAATCTTCTGAGGCATCCTTCTGCTTCGACAATCGCCAATCACCTCTCTTGTGTCAAGAGCCGATCGTCCTTCCCTCACCTATCATCTCTATTTCATTTACTTATATTTTGTTAAATAATATTCTTTTAATTTGCGTTTTTAAAAGGCTTAAATTTGAATTTTTTGTTTACTTGGTTTTTTAATCTACGGTCTAACAATAAGTTTTTTTTTTTAAATTTATATTTCATTCTTCAAGTCTAGTAGTTATCCATTTACAATAACATTTTAATTATATCTTCTTTTATTTTAATTCGATTGTCCCTTATGATAAAATTTTTAATCATATATTATTCTGAATTTTAACAGTCTAATATGGTGTGACCTATACCAATATGTGGTTAAAATATGCCTAAGTATTCATATAAAGTATATATAGAGCATGTATACATATATAGGTTGCGTAATTGTTGCCTAGGTGATATGAAGGTTATTGGTGCCTCGACTTGCCTTGTCGCTGTAACAACCTTGGATACTAGCAAACATGAATCCTTAATTAGGGTATTACCTAAAAGAGAACAAGACTAATAATAAGAGACTTAAAATTTTCCCTTTAAACTAAAATACAATAAGAATTCTAATACTCCCTCCGTCCCATTAAACTTATCCACTTCAGAAAAAGGTGGGATTTAAGAGATGTGCAATTTTAGTGTAACTTTCAAATTTTTCCCTTCTTTATTGTATGTTATAATAGGATATGATGGATAGATTAATAGTGAATAGATATGATGTGATAGGTATGTTAATAATTTGTAGGGGTGTAAGGGAGATTTTAATTGAAATTGAAGTGTATCCTGGGACAGATAGAAATTGAATATGGAATGGTTTTTTGGAATGGAGGAAGTAGAAAACTAATTATCATTATTATTATTATAGTAATAACATTAATAATATTTTCTGCAAAAAAAATTTAATACTCCGTAGTAATATTAATGACCAAATTAGGATCCTCTTTGGTAAACATTCATATCTTGATTCCATCTTTTACGAGAATCTTCCCTCTAATTGTAACTTGTGTAGACATTTTTATCATTTTAATTGTGAGTGTAATTGTCACTCTACTCCGGGTTCTAGAGCTGTGACAGGAAACTCTAGAGATGACCAGGTTGCTACTTGAGCCCCTAGAGAACGGGCAGCTACTGAACAAGCTAAGGTTCCAACTATTTTGATTCCATCACAATCAGTTCCCACTTCCCTCTGAAAATGTAATCCCAAGTACAAAGGTTGCCTTATCTGATCCGGGAAATGACCCCAGGCCCTATGAATCCTGGCTCTAAAGGAAATTAAGAGATAGTTCCTTCTACTACCAATCACAACTCTGCAGGTTCAGCATTGGGTAGTAAGGGATCTTCTCAGCGTGTAAAGATTCCAGATTCAGCAGCTTTGGGAGACAAGGACAATGTCCAGTCTGATAACTCAACAGACCCTGTTGTTGATAAGTTTACAAATGCTTAGACTTGGGTTACAAGGTACAGGATGAGTCCTCATTACCCAATTCTGCCCAGGATGATAACCTAACTGATAATGTTGTTAATAAGCCCACAGATACTACATCGGGTCCCAATCGGCATTTTGGGAAGGTGGCTGGGGATTTGAGGGCGGGGTTACGGGGCTTGGGACGGCTTTCGAGCAATGCGCGATGTAATAATATGGCATTGAATGGCAATGTCAAACGAACAGTTCTGCTTTATTTTTTATAATATTTTATGCACACCTTGGTACTCTAAAATGAGGCTCACAACACGCCATGGAAAAAACACCTCAAAACCACAATGCGCCATTTCGAACATTGCTTTGGGATATAAGGATCCTCCACAAACTGGGTTCTCACTAACCAATTCTGTCTCCAGAAATGACTTAAATGAAACGGATCCTACTAACCAGTGAGATGATGAAAACCTTTCTGATGCCCAATCCCCAAAGCACTGACCACAGTGAATAAGTTCAGAACCACTAACAAACAATTGACTGCTTCGACTCCTGTTATGTGTCCTAACGTTGAGAACTCAGGATTTCCTTCAAATCTGCCCAAACTTTTTGGCAATCAAGTATCCCCAGTCGTGCAATCCAGGTCAATATGTTAAAGGGGGACCATCACTATGTTGTCTCATGTTGATGTTAATGAAACCAGCATAGTGAAGGCTCAGTTCAGAAAGCATCAGCACACACACACACACAAATATCACAACAGACAGGAGCTTCAAGTGCCACTCGGGAACCAGAATATTAAATTAAATAAAAATGAAAGAAATTAAATTAAATAATAGAACTGAAAGGTGCATATTTCAGGATGAAAAGAAGAGGTCAGACATCCGTGAACCACCCCTCTATATTTTCACTCAATCTGTCTTGTGTTTCTCTTTCTTCCGGTACATTTTTATTGAGCAATGAGCATGCTTTTGGGATATTTTGGGTTTAAATCACCCCCACTACAATGTTTTACTATTAAATGTATGGTCAATCGACATAGACCTAGGTTATTCTGGTCTTTTTTGGTGATTCGGCCATCATCTTTGTAGCATTTGGTTGTTTGTCATCGTGTTGTGGCCTTTTTTGGGTGGGAAAATTCAGTAAGACTCTTTTTGGGACAATGTCAAGAAACTGGACTCTTTTTATGGGACGGAGGGAGTAATAAAAAAGCAGATGTTATTTTGCAGAATGACAGAACAGGAGTCAAAGTGTTTTCGAAAACACGTAGGCTTTGAGCCAATTTAGTATATGCTATTGACATAGGTGCTATGGATCTTTTAATATTTATCACCCTATGGTTTTTTGAGGATTTGTAACTGTTTATAATAATTGATTGCTAGTTTACAACAACAACAACAAAGCCTTATCCACACTAGGTGGGGTCGGCAGATTGAATGCTAGTTTAAATAAATAAAATGATTTTATCATCAACAAAAAATGGAAAGGAAGAGATGTACCTCCCAATTGGTACACATTGGAAGAATGCGCTTTAAGTTACTGCATTGTGCTGCATAAACTGCAATTTCATATTTTCCTCCATCTTGCTCTGCAATTCTCTTCGCATAAAGGAGAATAATTGAGACATCAGTATTTAAGAGAGAGAAATGGCCAGCCAATTTAGACAAAAATGTAGCATGAGAGCCTGTTTCAGTGAGCTTAATTTCAAAATTAAAAAGAAATGTAGTAAATTTTTGCTGAAGTTGAAAATGAATTAAATGATATTTCTACTCAAACAAGCTCTCAGTTTTCTTGAAATAATGAAAAAAATACTTGCATGGTTAGACCTTTTCTGGACATAGGATGTTGTACATATTTATGGGCTTTATTTTGATTTCAGAAGATAATGGAAAACACTTCTTGGTAAGGAACCAAAAGATAGTAGAGAACACTTTGAGTAACTAAGCAAATATACTGAACGTGACAATTCAAACGTTTGCTCCATCTACCTCTGATGCACAATAACAAGCCCACTTCCAAAGACGGCGTTGGTGACCAATACCAGTTTCCAGTTCAATGGCTTGCAGAGCCCTAGTCTTTCCATTTTTTATCAAGGCTTCAATTGAGGGTTTCTGATCCAACCTTCCAAATGGAGATAAAGTTGCTGCCCTCCAAGGCTATTAACATGCAAATTGAGTCAATTAGAAATAGTAATTTGCTTAAGGAGCAATGGGCATGTTTAAAGACAGTAGGACACCATATTTTAAAGCTATTGGCTAACCTGCCCAGCAGAACGACAGAGATTGCATGCTTCTTCTAGTCTGACCTTTCCTCTCTTCCAGCCTCTCGCCGGCGTCCCACATCTCTCACAAGAAATCAACACCCTTCACAATCTCTGATTTTATTTTACTGCTTTTCTTTTTTTGTTTTTGTTCTTGTGCAGTTATCTCCGAAAGACTACAATGGTATCTACTTTTTTTATTTAGTTAGTAATCATTTATGTTGCCATTTGCCAAAATTGTCTATTTACTTCCTTTGCAAAAATAGCTAATTAGATGATGATGCAACCTTTTCATTTTCTATTTTCTACATTTGTACGCTTCGTATGCCTTGTATGCTTGGTGCTCTTTGGTTGTATTACTTTTCCTTTGATAGCTCTAGTTTGTCCCTTGCCTCTATGTGCTCCGTGCTTTATTTGTGCTTTCTTTGATTTATGCATCCCCTGCAATTGTTTTATACATGCAGCTTGAGCTGGGGATCTCTTGCAAACAGCCTCTCTACTTTCGAGTAGGGGCAAGGTCTGCATACACACACCCTTCCCATACCCTATCCTCGTGGGATCCAACTGGGTTGTTGTTGTTGTTATTGATAATTAAGAAGAATGCTCTCATCAAGTGTGCCTGACCAATTCTGTCAGGCATGGATGATCTCAGCCCTTGGATTCTGATCTAGGGGACATAACCAATTTGGCTGTTGAGATGATCCCTGTGTGGCAGAGCATTGCTCTTATTCTGCAATTAATTGGTTCAGTCTGCAACTTAATCTGCAATTCTAACAGTTTCATTTTTTTCCTACTCTTCGGGTTTTAAAAGCATAGTTATGGTGGCTAGGCGAGGCTGGGCGCTAGAGTACCTTCCAATCGCCTAGGCGATTAGGCGCCTGCCTAGGCATCCCCTAGGCGAGTGGGCTGTGGCGACCTTAATAATTTTATAGGTACTAAAGTAAAAGCATATAGTATGCAATAAGTAATTAAAGAGTACATGTTCTGAAATATATGAACAAATGTTGTTTTTTTAAATAAAACACATATTCCTTTTAAAATTCCTTGAACCAAACCTTGTAAGAAATTAGATATCCTCAAAAAAAAAA